GGCCGCCCTGCGGAGAAAGCTCATTTCGGCCGCCTGTATCCGGGATCTTGCCCTTTCGGTCATGACCCAAAGTTCATGACCATAGGTGAGAGTCGGAACATAGATTGCCCAGTAAATCGAGAGCTTTGCCTTACAGCTCAGCTCCTTCTTCACCACGACAGTATCCAAGACTTAAAAAAAATCACAAAGCACACGTGGACCAAATTTGAGGTTTCAGATCAACTCCAGCTATTATTACTAGTTTTATTTATGAGTAAAATGTTTGAGTTTTTTATAGGGAAGGACTTTTATATTATTTATCTGTCCTCCATCTTGTCTGTATTTGATTTTCTACTTCTGACTAACTTAATTCAAATTTAGGTTATTACAAATAGAAGATTTTGCTTCTGATTGAAGTGCAAACCTTCTATCTGCTGCACTTAATAGATGTTACTTGTATTTTGTTATGATCATTGTACTGCTGTGAATCTAGGTGTCATACTGTAATAGTACTTAAAAACTACAACAAATGTCTCATTTCTTGTTAAATTTTCCATTTAGAATATTACACATAAATAAAAAAAACTGAGGAATTAAGATAATGAAATACAAAATTAGATAGCAGCTCATAAAAACTACAGAAAATACTGAGAATGAGAATTTTTTCATAAAGAAAACTCCTGCACTAGTTACCATTTGAATGTCAAACGTACATATGTGCCTGCTCTGCATCAAAAGAGGAGTGTACTCTCACTGAGTCTTATAAATCATAATGTGCAATGTAAATATGTGTAACACAGCCACATGTTGCTGTATATCATAAGTTTATTATTGTTTTCAAATGTTTTCCTGAAGTACAGAACAGAGAGGGTATTTAAATTAAAGTTGGTGTCCATGACTGACACTCACAGTCAGAATGTTTGTGTTTTAAATTATTTCATTAATTTATTTACTTATTAAAAGTGACAGGACAAAGAAGTATTTACTTCGTTTTACTCTGTTCTTGAAGTGTGATGCTTTCTCAGGGGAAACATGAAAATTTGTTGTCTAACTGCGGAGCTCAGTTGCATTATAAAGATCTACACACATCATCTCCAGGCCCTATCAACACTGAAACCCTCGTTTTAATACAGTTTGGCTTGTAACCCCTTAAGATGAAACAAAACCTATGTATTTCTCTTTCTTATTTCTTATGCAATTATCTAGTGACCCCTCTAATTCATTTTGGGACCACCTCACTCTACACCAGGCTAAACTTATCTACTTTCTGATGGAGGCATTGTAAGGTTTTTCCAGGAACGCATCTTCTCTGAAACCAAAAAAAGAGAAGCTGGTGAGGCTTGTATGAGTGAGTCAATGTTTAAAAAATATTAGTTATCTCTTCACTAAGTAGGAACATCTTTTTCAAGGAAACAACATCAGGCTTCTGAGATCTCTTAAGTTGTTCTAAGACAAGATGGATCTGCAAGCCTGTGTGTGTGTGTGTGTGTGTGTGTGTGTGTGTGTGTGTATGAGCACACCTGTACTGTGTAAGCTGATAACCCACAGTCTCTGCAGTCAGCAGATTTGACACATCATCCTCATCATCCTATTAACGGGTACAAATACTCTCCAGGTTTTTAGAGGTATACTGTACTGCTTTTCAAAAATGATTGTGTTTATAAAAGATAAAAATAATAATACATTTTATTTATGTAGTGCTTTTTCAAGATTCTCAAAGACACAACATAAAACAAACAAAAAGAAGAAGAGAACATCCAAATCCTGAATAAAATCTTAAAAGCATAGAACAAGTTAAAGCATTATCCAACAAATCTATCCTATAAATCATCCTTAAAGATTAGGCTACTTTGTCAAATACCTGTATGAGACCAAACTGTAATTGGAATAAGTTTTTAATTTAAAAACTATTATTTCATTTACATAAATTTAGCACTAAAGAACCTGTTAAAATGTGTTAGTCATAATTGCTCATTATGAATTTTCCTCTCACATTCTTAAGCATTACAGATATTGTTTATTTCATGGCCAAATCTAAAAATCAGATGACAAAGAAGTTAATGAATCACTCAGCAAAGCATGACAAATCACATTTATGAAAGCACAACACTGCGCAGAGATTTAAATGCTGAATACATATAGTTTAAATGTTGTTAGATAATGGTCATGGTTGAAAAGACATCTGCTCTGTCTTTCGGTACCATCTAGTGAGTGGTTACACGGTCATAAGGCATCTAAGTATCTTCTGTTCTGTTTCTCATTTCGTTACTTTGAGGTAGAAGATGACTTTTCCCTCATAGGGATCGTGGATGTTCTCGTAGCTGATCTTGTCAGAGACCACTCTGCACTGGATCTTGGCTTGCTTTCCCCCGACCAGGCTGAACCGAACAGCTACCAACGGGTTGACATAGGAAGGCTGAAGAAAAGCAGGAGGGTGGCAATACAGTCCATTATTCACTGCTATAGTATGTGCTTGATTTTTTTTTTTTTTTTTTCCTAGGGCATTGTGTTGATATTGTAAAGCATAAAGTGATAGTTGCATGTTATGGGAAATACACTCAATCATATTCTTGCTGAGAATTAGTTGAGCGGTTTCTGATGCATGCACATTAAATATGAAGCTACCACAGGCAGCCAGTTAGCTTAGCCTAGCCCAGTATAACGTATTGAAATATAAGAAATATAAATATTGAAAATGGTGGAAACTGTAGGAGTTCACTGTAAATTGCAATTTTTACACCTTATTTTGATCCAGATTAAACAAACACAATATAATATATCAATCAGTGAGCTTTAGAGGCAACAGGCAAATTATTTTTTTAACCATACCTTGCTTTGTTCTGTTCCTTTAATTCCGTCTTAATTGTGATGTTGTAAGTGTGACACAAACTTTTTTTTAGCTTAAGTGCCTAGACACCCATTTGTTAAGCTGGTTGAAGGTGTGAAACTAGATTTTGTGACATGACATGACCAGTTCATATTAGGCTAGTTCAGATGACCACAAACAAACTGCTGGGGCCTTTTCTGGGGACTGAAAGTAGTTGCCTAATTTGCATGGTTTATAAACCAGCCTTGTATGCACTATAGTGTAAAAACACTGTTTTTTTGTCTTTTGATACCGGGCCTGTTGACAGAACAGCTACCCATTCAGAAGCCACCTTAAGGATTTTGTCATTTCAGCTGAAAATGTGCTTTACTGGTGCATGTTTCTATATTTAGTCATGTTACAATAAACCAGGTGACACACAATCAGTATGAAGCCATTGCTTGCTGTGCCCAGTTGATAATCCAGCCTTTCTAGAAGCAGATTTTGAAGTATGACAAATAGAAAGTCTTGCTCAGTGGTTGTATGGTTTTCTTTTTTACCTGTGCCAGTTTTCCATAGTAAGGGAAGTAGGAGAGATCCAGAATTCCTCTGTCAGGGAAATACTCGATTTTTTCCACATTATGTTGTCCATCCTATAAAAAAACAGAGGCACATAATGTCATTGTATTTAAAGGGGGACTCAATACATGAACAATATGAAAACAGTTTAATATCTTCTGTAACTCTGGAAGAGCTTTGTCAAGTCTGAGAAATTAACCACTGTCTTACACTGCGAATTTATAACAGTAAGTTTTTGTTAGGACATGGTTGTTTACCAGGCAGAGAGGATTATGGGTTGTATTATGAGAAATATTTGATTCAGTGCTTTTGGAACTGAGAGTAAGCACTGCTCTGTAAAACCTAAGTACACCTATGTAGAACTTAAGATTCCTTTTCTTTAATGCATGCCATGAAATTCAGTTTATGCTGTGGTTGCTCACCAGTATAGTGCAGTTGACATATGGGGGGAGGTCCGTGTGATTAGAAGGCAAAAAGTTAATGATCTGCAGAGACAAAACATAACATAACATTTAGTCATGGTTGTGGATGTGAGTTTCTTTTATGTAATGTAAGATCTGAGTATGTGAAAGTATGATATAAGTAAGATTGTTTTTTTTGTTTTTTTTTTATAAAACATACTCTGTTCATCTTAATGATGACACAAGGCATGGTGCCATTGTAGCCAAACATTGGGTCCTCCAGTCCAGAGCAGGCTCCCAGCATGCTTTGTGGGAAGGGACATGACCACTTGGTGTGGTGAGGAGCAAGGAAGGTTTTCTGGATGAAGTACTTCCCCTTAGTGCAGTTATATTTGTTACATTCATGCTGTGTAGTGTCATTGTAAGCTAAAGGAGAGAAACAGAAAGATTCACATCTTTTTTTTCATTTGACCATATAGATATTAGATAATCCATTCATTGTCCATCATTGATATTAAATTGTCCATCAAATAAATACTAACGCTTTAAGAACTTATGGAGGATGTTGGACATCTTCATGCAGCTGGCCTTGTCTGATGTGTTGTAAGTGATTTCAATATCTTCCTCTCCATAAGTGTCCGGCCACACCATCACCCCTGAATGACCAAGCATAGAGCTGGTTAAGATCCACTGAGGTTTCATTTATTATTATCTTAACTTCGCGTTGTTGTTTTACCTGGAGATGATAGCCGGTCTTGGTAGTCAGGGGTGTACGGATCCAAGGTATACATGAGAACCCAGATGGCCAAAGAAAACAGGGCCGTCATCACCACGTAGAAGGCCACATAATACAGACTGATGTAAACTGTGAAGGTGAGAGAGTTGTTTTTAAGTAATGCACACAATAAGGGTTCCATGTTTGTGGTGGCAGCACCTCTTTTTGAATTACAGTAGGCCATCACTGATGTTGTAAAATGTCTCCTTTTAAAGCTATTGTTTTATATATAGAATCATATAAAAGGAGAAAAAAGGCTTTTTGTATTTTCAGTTTACAGTATCAACATAGGGAGAGGAGAGTTTTGCAAAGGTGCATGGCTGTATATGCCGAGGTCAGCATGTCCTCTGTCGATATTTGCTGACTTTAATCTGATTGTAAGATCAAACGAAACAAAACCAAAGCTTATCACGGCAACAGACTTATCGCTCTCTCTCTTTGTTCACATGCTGCCAACATACAACACTCTGTGGCATAAGGACAGAAAAACTCACAGTGGCACATGCAAGTACGTGATGTATGGCTGAGCTCATGTATTTGTCTTTTAGCCACATGCAGACAAACATTCATGGATTGTTTAGTTTAAATCCATTTATTTTGTAATAAATATACTGTATTTGCAATTTGTGGCTTTGTTTTGAGAATTGATTGTAAAATTCCTCTTGAGTCAAACGGATTATAGGATTATATTCAAATGCCATGTGCAGTAGTGTAACTAAGTACATTTACTACATTTATTTTCTAGCAATAGTAACAAATTACTCTGAAGGTTTATATTTTACACACTATATAAGAAGATCCTATAAAATATTAAGTACTAAAAGGTATTTCTAAATGCCTCATCGACCAGTTACAACACTGAAATGCTGCTTCCACTTTAAGGCTATAATAATAGTAATCCACACTGACAGAAGCCATTCTGCTGGATAATGAGTACGTCTCATACTTGAAGTACTCATACTTGTATACATTTATTGCAATACACATAAAGACATCAGAGTTTTGTTTAAAGCCAGACTAGGAAAAATCTGAATCTATCCTCTAATTTGAGCAAATCTTTGCAATTCTTCAGTTTAAGAACCTTATTTTAAAGGTCAATTTCACTTGTTCCAAAAAAATAATATAAACACCTTTTAACGCAGTTTGACAAAGTTCGCAATAGTTGATTTTTATATTGTTAAAAATGGAAGGATCATGTGAATGAAGTGTTGTTAGAGAAATGTCAAGTATTTCTTAGTCACTGCGTTGATGAGATGTGTGGTAGTATTGGTCACCAGCAATGCACTATGGCTAAGAGAAGTTTCATTATAACCAAACTGCCCTGCAGAAACACTGCTGACAAGTACACCCTCTTAACCCTAACACCCCACCACCACCACCCCATTTCATTATGGCTATGGAGTTATTTTATTCTTACCCCATTTCTTGGGTGTTCGTCCCATAAACGTCCCATGGTCAGAATTCCAGACAAAATGGCCAAAGTCTTCACATCGCTGCCCACAAGTCCTCTTCTCCTTCAGGGTGGCCATGATGACACTCTGTGCTGACCAGTATCCACAGCAGACCTTTTCTTTCCTTTACTCAACTCTACCTTTTACTTTATCGCCCTTCCCTCAGTCAGTATACAATTAGTTTCTCCTCCTTCCTTTCCCTTGCCAAAGACTTTGAGGCCCTTTCAGGTGTATCTTGACCACTGCCTCATTGTTTTTTACAGCAGAGGCTAAAACTCGCTCTGTGTTCGTCACTCCAGGAGGTGATGTATGTGTTATCTCTTATTTATAAGGCTATGATAAGGTGGACATGTAGCAGGTAGGGTAGCTGAGGTAGGCCAAAACTGAAACAGGTATACTTCCTTCTTCAGCAACAGTGTCCTTTACTCCTTGAAGAAAAAAAAAAACCCTAGGATCACCTTGAACAGCCAGACAGCCTGGTTACTAATGACAGGACTCAAGGTGAATGACTGCAGGTGATTTAAATTGATAAGCAAATACTAATCCAGTGCAGGACAGGCTATCTTGTTTTTGTGAGGAATTTTGCATGATGAATTTAGCATCCCAATTAAATCTGTCAAATCTTCTGAAATACAACCCTTATTATATCATCAAATAACTAAAAAAATGTGCACTTGTACAAAAATAAGCATGATATTTACCTAAAATGATTAACTGCTAACATGGAGGGGATGGGGTTTATGATCCTATAACCAAGCACCAGGAGGTGATCGACTTATGGTGGCCTCACTTCTGGGAGCTGTCAGGCTGTCCATCTTTATAATTAGTGAATGTGACAGTCCAGTATGGCAAGCCATCGAGTTCAGGGGGCGTGTGCTGAGCTCTCTGGCTTTCCATAGTCTAATATTACCATCCCTAAACTCATGCTGCTGTTATAAATGTTGCACTACTTGTATCTCAAAGAAGAAGGCCTAATGTTCTTTAGTCTCCTTTGTTGTTAGAGGATTAGAAGTTTTGAATGATTGAAGTCTTTCTGGTAGATGGTTATATAAAGAGAAAAGGTACAAATTTTGCAAAGCAACATCAAAAGAGTACAAGATCAGTACTCTGCAGAAGCGCAGTGTTAACTACATATGGCGAACACTTCTCTCTTTTCTCTCTGTCACATGTTGTTGTGCCACTTGCTCTCTGAACTTCACTGCACTCCTATCATTACCAGCCCACTACATGCATATAGTGGCACATTTATTCTTCCTCTCCCTCCCTCTCTCTAATGTTCATTTTCTGCCATATTCCCCAAGCCTTTGTTTCGCCCTTTCTTCTCTCCTCTTTGTCTGCAGCGTGCACATGGGTTAGCACAGGATAAAGAATTACAGAGTTACAGGATGGATAAATCCCTTTGTGGAAAGGTGATGAGTCAGGTAGATCTGCATGCGTGTCTGCATGTGAGACAAAGAGAAGGGATTCTCAAGTTTAGTGATACCCACACTGAGGGACACACTGAGCTGTCTGCAGCCAGCAGACAGTCAGATGTACAAATCACTGGAGGAAGAAGAAATCCATATCACATTTCATTCTTACCTGGATTTTAGCGAGTTATCATTGGTTCCCAGCTAATTTCTTTTTTCATTTGCTATATTTTTTTCCGCACTCATTTCCAGTCATCCGCTTCTGCTTTTATATCCCTGTAACACATTTTCACTGTAGCTTTTTCTGCATCTCACACATTTCTCCATCCCTCTTCTGCACTTTTCTACGGTGTCACCATGGATGTTGGTGGCTTGATGACAGTGGTGGCCAACTCTGCCTACATCTCAGCCCGCAGAAGCTTTGATGGCACTGCCAACCCTGCATCCAGCCGAGACAAGAAGTACCACTCCCGCCTGAAGCTTCCTCACATCACAGTATGTGAAGGTCTGCGGGAGACGTTAGACCTGGGCTTCCAGATGGTTTGTGTGGAGCAGCCCATCGGCAAATGTCTTTTCCAGGAGTTCTTAGATTCCAACAATGATTATAAAGGCCCGTGTCATCTGTGGAAGGACATTGAGGAATACAACATGGCTGAGGATGAGGATCGTGTGAAGAAAGCAAGCAAAATCTTGTCCCGCTACATGGAGCCTGACTCCAAGTATTTCTGCCCCTTCCTGCCTGAAAATGGCATCACAAAGGTCAAAGAGAAACACACAGAGGCAGAAGATGATCTTTTCAGTGAGACCATGGAAAATGTCATGGACTTTCTCAAAGAAGTGCCCTACACTTTCTTCCTAGACAGTATGTATCTGAAAAGGTTTCTGCAGTGGAAGTGGCTGGAGATACAACCTGTGGGAGAGGATTGGTTCTTGGATTTTCGTATTTTGGGGAAAGGGGGTTTTGGAGAAGTGTCTGCCTGTCAGATGAAAGCCACGGGGAAGTTGTATGCCTGCAAAAAGCTCAACAAGAAGAGGTTGAAGAAGAGAAAAGGTTATGAGGTAAGTGAGGATATCATGACAAATCCTTTTTCATCAGAGAGCAGATTATGGATTTAGCTACACAAAGCTATTTCTCAGGGTTATCATACAGTGTAGTCTGAGCAGTTGCTGAAATTTAGAAACATAAGTTGTTCTAGTTAAGCATCTTGCTTTCCAGGCCCTTTTAACCTCTACGTAATCCTCTCTATACAGCAGTCAGAAACAACAATAGACTGAGCCTTGCAGATAGGTACCACTGGATTATATGATTAGTATTAAAACATTTTGATCTCCTTATATGCCAATTCTGCCATGTTTATAAATGGAGCAGCTCTGGGGAGATTTTCTGCTCAGTCTTCAAAACAGAAATAAGATGCCTTCAAAGTCTTAGTTTACTACAAATAGACATTAAATAAAATATGTACAATATGTTCCTTGTGTACACCACTGGTCAAAAGTTTTAATATACCCTTAAGAAGTTTTAGCTTTTACCATTTGTTTGCTTGTTTGTTTGTTTTGCAAACTGATGAAACTTGATTGAAAGATGCTCTGAAATGATACATTTAAGTGCAATCAGAAAATGATTTCTTTGGTTAATGTTAATGCATAGATACTGCTGTGTTGTCCTGTCCCGCAGGGGGCGATGGTGGAGAAACGGATCCTGGCTCGAGTTCATAGCAGGTTCATTGTCTCTTTGGCATACGCCTTCCAGTCAAAAACTGAGTTGTGTCTGGTCATGACCATCATGAACGGAGGTGACCTGAGGTGAGAGCTCATTCATTCTCACTCACTGACACCACACCATTTCCTACCAGCAGTAGTTTTTAGTCCCATATTTCAATCTCTGCATTGTTATTTAGATCCAATATGTACTGCCTTTAATGTGGCATCATTCAACATGGTGAATAATGCTGCCTGTTATACGATAGTGTGCAGATAGTTTTAAATACTGTATCATGAATGTTCACATATAATGATTATTTGTTGTATAAACCTGTATACAGTAAATGTGGGGCTACAGCTAAAGATTATTTTCATTATTGATTATTCTGCCAAGTATTTTCTTGATTAATTGATTAAGCATTTTGTCTGTAACATTTCAGAAAAAAAGTAAACGTCAGTTTTAATATCCAATAGCCAACTGTGTTGTAGTCATTTAATTTGTTTTGTTCAGTAACAGTATGTTTATCACAACACCACCAATGACATTCAGTTTCTCATCATGTCTGACAAGAAAGCATCAAGTTTTCATCTCAGTCTTGAACTTGTTCTTGTTTGATATTTTTCCTTGAAAATGACTGAAACTAAGAATTAATTATGAAAATAGTTGCCTATATATAAACTGATTAATAATCTGTCAGTTGAACCACATAAGTGTATTGTATTTGCCACTTTGGAAAAGGTACAACTATCTGTATTAAAAGACACATGTGTACCTTACATGTCTGTCTTTTTTTTTTTTTTACATGACTCTGAGGCCACTTTTTTATGTCAATAGGTATCACATCTATAATGTAGATGAGAACAACCCAGGGTTTGAAGAGCCACGGGCCTGCTACTATGCTGCTCAGATCATTCTAGGCCTTGAGCACCTCCATCAGAAGAGAATCATATACAGAGACCTCAAACCTGAGAATGTGCTGCTGGATAATCAAGGTTGGATGCTCCATAAAGAAAGATGTAGGTCTAGTCTTTAGTGTTTGGTCCTCAAGTGCAGACTGGAGCCTGTTTTTGAAGACTAGCTTTCTCACATTGTAACTCTACTGATGAACCTCATTTTCCCATTTAGAGGTAATAGATTCATACAGTCAAGGGGGTTTAACTGTGAATAATGGGGTACGTCTCACTTTTGGACCATTAGAATATTTAGTTAAAACAATAGTTTGACACCTTAGGAAATTTGCTTATTAGTTTTCTTACCACAAGTTGTATGAGAAGACTGACAACACTCTCATGTGGGTTTGTTAAATATGAAGTTTGAGACAGGAGATAGTTAGCTTATCTTAATGTTAGCATAGAGACTGAAAACAGGAGAAAACAACTAGTCTGGTTCTATCCAGAGGCAATAAATCCCAAAAGCTCTCCAAATAACATGTTTCATCTCATTTATTTAAGATCTAAGAATAATAGTGACAGACTGAGGTTTTATCATTTGACTTCCAGGAGTACTGAACAGAGCCAGGCTGGCTAAGCTAAGCTAAGCATCTGGTTCCAGCTTCAAATAAATTTTAACCCCCAGCCACTTGTAAAGACTATAGCAAAATACAGCAATTGTGATTTTACTGTAATGAAACTATAGCTCATCACACTGACTTTAAAAATATATCCCATTCTAACCCTACTGAGATCAAGACACACACACACAAGCTGGTCTGTATATACACACAGAAGCCCACACATGCTCCACACCTGCAGTTCATGTTCATGCAGTTCTGTGCATTGCACAAGGACATCTTTGAGTTATCACACTATGCACTAATAAGTCAGAGACGTAGTGTGCCAGTCAACAGAGCTGTGCACGTCAAGAGCTCTCTTGACGTTTTTGTGGTGTTTGTTCTCACAGGTAACGTCCGTATCTCTGACCTTGGTCTGGCTGTGGAGCTGGCCGACGATCAGTTCAAAATCAAGGGCTACGCTGGGACTCCAGGTAGAAAGAGAGAGAGAAACAGTCGCCATATTGACACTTACCTGGTGGTAGTTGTTCTAACAGCAGGATGTTTGAACAAAACCCACAGCTCTGCAGTATTATCTTTTTCACCCACATGTAAACCAACATGCTGCATTAGAGTACATATACTGTGTGGCTGCCATTACCTCTCCAACCAGTTCTAACCGAATGACTGGAATGAAACTATCCTGCCAAGTTATAATAGAGGAAAATAATTAAATAATGTAGCTATTATACATTTTGCTTTGAGAATGGTTGAACAACAGAACATATGCTTATACAGTATAAGCTTGAAATAATAGTACAAGGGCAGATGTGTCTTTTTTAGAAGGTGTTGATTAGTTGGCAGGTATATGCTTTAGTATGTGGCCTATCAGCTTACCAAAGTATCATATTACATTTTCTATAAATGCATAATTTTGAGTTGAGTAGTATTGGGAGCAAAATTAAATGTTCATTTATCAATACAGTAACATGTAGGAGGTATTTTATGGTGTAGTTAGCAGTAAATGTTTTGTTTGTTTCAAATATGATGCTTATAATGGCTATACCAGTGCAACCTAGATGTTCCACTTGTGCCACCTCACTACTATAATAATAATAGAACTATTGAAACAAGCAGAAATCCATGATACAACAGTTAGACTGTACTAGAAGATACCCTTTGCAGAAAATATTAAATAAATCAAATAAAAAGTTGGATTAATTAATAAAATGTAAAGCAATTTTAAAAAAAATC